ACTCGCGATGCCTTGACAGTGGAAAATACCGGCTTTTGTGACAAAGGGTTCAGTCAATCTTGTCAGGCGTCTATTTCAGCTGAGAAAAATTACGTGAGGATGTGGAGAGTGTCAAAATAAAGGTACCGTATAATCGATATTTTATGTGTGGCATCGATGCATCGTATCGTTAGACTTTTGATCGATGTATCGATCCATATCGATGTATTGTTACACCCCTAGCGTGTGCACCAGATTTTCAGTGAACGCGCCCGTCTCATCAGCATCCATCAACACCATGGAGTATTTGGAGGTATGCTGTCCTGGCTAATCTACCGATAGATTGCAATTGCTAACGTCATTTATACTCTAAATGAGCTTACTTGATTTTCCACCATCACTCGAGATCTTCGTTACTGCGCGAACTTCCGCGAGCTTCAGGCGTGTGCATGTGATTGTAACGTGCGCGAGGGGTGGCGTGTGCCCGATCTGTGATTGACAGTCAGATCTCACACCCCCCTGCGCTGATTGGACATGATGAACCGGGAGCTGTGGATTTTTGCAAAACAAATAACACGCTCCAGGTGGAGTTAGAAGCTCGGGTTTTTTTCTAAAACCACTTTATTTATGTTGTTCTGTCAGATTATAGTGTCGATTTCACTGAATATGATCAAAAAAATGTTGCCGACGGCAGCTTTAAGTCTAAGGCATGTTAACTCGTGACATCATCAGATTTATCTTATCCTCACGTTTCTCTGTGATCTGCTACTCCTGCCTGCTCATGACGAGGCTCTCGTGTTTCCGCAGGCCATCAGCAACAAAGACCAGCACAGTGTCTCGTACACGCTGTCCCGAGCGCAGACGGTGGTGGTGGAGTACACACACGACAGCAACACGGACATGTTTCAGGTGCGCTTTTTTGTTGCTGGATTTGCGCCATTACCCAGAATGCATTAGCTGTCCTTTCACCGTCTTGGTTAACTGAGTTAAAATGAGTAACCCACTTCTAGCCAACATAACTTTGAGTTTGGTTACATGTTGATTTTGCCAAAATATCTTGTGAGATGTATGATATATTCCATCATGTAAGCAAAGTCAAGGTGTTTGGTTTCATTTCTGACATGTTCTGGTCGTACCCTGTGCATCTATCCTTGGGTATAGTTTAGATGTCTATTAAATGTTCACTGATGGCCCAGATGTTGCCTTGCTTTAGCCTAGACGTCTGGGCTGTGTCTGGACGGCTATTAGACGTCTTTTAAACGCAAAATTGCTTGCTGGGTACCTATGGAAGCTCGTTTCCGGCACAGAAAAAAAAAGTAATTGCGACTTTTTATCTGACGTTTTTCTCGCAATTGAGTTTATATCTCGCAATTTGTACTTTTGCGCGATATAAACTTTATTACATGCAATTGCGAGTTTATATCTCACAATTCTGAATTACAAGATAAAAAGTTGCAATTACCTTTTTTATTTTTAATCCAGTGGCGGAAACAAGCTTTCATAGTTCTTTATTTGCATCCTTTGAACAAGTGATGCACCGATTATTATAATTTTTTAAACACCAAAAACAAAATTAACTCCTTCCCCGCCATTGACTGAACTTTCCGTGTTTTCACTGTTATACGGTAGACATCTTCTGAAAGAGTACAGAATCTCCTGATCAAAACACAGGAGAAGAAGACGCAGAAACAAGCGATATCATATGTAATCATATGCATGTGTAAAATAACGTGATCACCAACATATAAATCAAAACTGCCTAATGTTACTGAATGAAATGTCGACCCAGGATGAGCTTAGTGGGTTTAATTTATCTTGATTGAATTTCCCTTTTTATGTCTTTTTATTCTGTCTTTCAAACACCCACATATAAAGTTGATCATATCTGTCAGTGATATCAGTCTGATTTTGTCATTGCACATGCTTCTTTTGCAGATCGGCCGGTCCACTGAAAGCCCCATTGATTTCGTGGTGTTGGACAATGCGCCCGGTTGCCACGGTAACGGCGACACGCTGTCGTCCCAGAGCACCATCTCGCGGTTCGCGTGCCGGATCGTGTGTGAGCGAGACCCGCCCTACACCGCGCGCATCTACGCCGCCGGCTTCGACTCGGCCAAAAGCATCTTCCTGGGGGTGGGTCAAACACTCTCTCCTCTCTAACAGTCTTTCACACTCATCCATCCATCCATCATGTGTTCACTGATCCTGGAGAGCTGAAGATGAACAAGTTAACAAATTCATGAAGAGAATGATCGACACTGCCGTTCATGAGTTTGAGTCGGTACGATTTATTAAAAGTTTTTGAAAGAAATCTCTTCTGCTCACCAAGGCTGCATTTATTTTCTCAAAAATAAATACATTTTATTAAAAAACAACAGTATTGTGCAGTATTATTATAATTTAAAATAAGTTTTCTATGTGGATTTACTGTAAAATATCATTTATTTCTGTGATCAAAGCTGAAATTTCAGCATCGTCACTCAAAGCAGTTTTCAATGATTTGATGCTCGAGACATTTCTG